CAAAGAAGTCTGGAGTTTTTTTCATCTCAGCCTACAGAATAGAGTAGTTAGGTGCTGGGACAGCTTAAAAGACTGCCTTTTTGGATCAAGTATAAAGGGAATGTGAGCCTTCTGGGACTTGGGCAAAGTACATTGCTCAGGTCATCTTGACCTCCAGGGATGGCTAGTACTGTTTCTCCCATAAAAGCTGTTTTCCCTGAACTCTCCAGGGACAGAATGTCAGAGCAAGTAGGGTCCAGAGAGCCCATAGATGATCCCTGTTATTTTACAACTGGGGAAACTGAAATCAAAACTGGAAAGTTAATTATTTGTTGCCTATTTGTAGCAGTGTCCAGGTATTAGACTTCAGTGTTATTCTCTTTCCAGTAGACTAGGAAGCCCTCAAGTACTCTGTACCCACTGCCACAATGCCATGAGCATATCTTAGGCTGAATATCTGTTGTGACCCAGGGCATCAATATAAGATTTTTGGGGAGACAGACTTCACTCAACTGGAACTTGTGCGTTAGCTCTAGGGACTAGTTTTCATTTGGGCCAACTCTCACATTGCTATTAAGTCACATTCAGAGTCCCGTTCTTGCTAAGATTGAACTTACTCTTAACCTTACGAAAATCAAATAGTGCATTAGAGGGTGTTAATCTATATACCTTTAAATAAGGTCCCCTCCTTTATTCACTGACTCACACATCCATGCATTCATTCACAGATACTCATTCAACTCATACTCTATGCCAAGCACCATGTGCAGCACTGGAAAAGTAACACACACAGTCCTGTCTTTATCACCCATGGAAAGTGAAAACATATTTAACCCTAGTCAAATTTCAAATATACACATTTCTTATCTTAGCTGACTCACCTTTTCACACTCTTAACCTTGTCTTTAATGAAGAAAGTTCATAATTTTAATAAAAGTATGTTTCAATCTTTTTTGGTCAGTGTTTTTGTTGTTATTTTGCCCGTTTTAAAAATTGAGCAAAAGATGTGAATAGAAGCTTTGCAAAAGAAAATATCTGAATGGAAAATGAGCACATGTAAAGATGTTCAGCATTATTAGCTAGCAGAGAAACACAAAGTAAAATTTTAGTACAATACTAATGCCTCTCAACCCGCAGGGCTAAAATTTAAAAATTAAAACTGACGATACCAAGTATTGGTGAGAATGTGAAACAACTAGGACCTTCATACATTACTTGGTGTTAGTGTAAGTTGGTATAGCTAATTTGGAAAATCATTTGACAGTATCTACTAAAACTAAATATATGTTACTTTTTATCCCAGAATTCCACTCCTAGATATATATCCCAGAAAAATAAGTGTTTATGTTTACCAAAAGATACATAGAAGATTGCTTATGGCAGCATTACTAAGGATATCAAAAATTTGGAAACAACCCAAATGTTCATTAAAAATACAGCATGTAAATACATTATGCTATATTTATACAAAGGAGTACTATACAATGGTGAAAATTAATGACTCCATGCTCCAACGAGATGAATCTCTTAGGACTTATGTTGAGTGAAAATATCAAAACACTGAACAGTATATCATGCATTGTTTCATTTATATAAAGTTCCAAAGCAGATTAAACAAATCTAAGGTGCTAGATATTAGAATAATGGTGTTATCGACTGGGAATCCTAGAAGTTGGCATAGATTCTTAATATGTTCTATAAACTCAGTTTGGATGGTGGATATATGGATATATACAAATGTAAAAAATTATTTGAATTGCACATGTAAGGTTTATATACTTACTTGTGCAATGTAAGCTGTATCTCACTAAGAAAGAAAAATAAAATACGTTCTCTTCAGAAATTAAAGAAAGTGAACAAAGGAACTGAATTTGCAGGTGCTACATAACTTATAGAGGCTTACTGAGTTGTTACACACTTTAGTGTCTTTCTCCCAATTCATCCATGGACAAATAGTCAGTTGACCTCTGTTTATGGCGCGGACACCTGAGTCTCACCTACCTTTCTATTAAGTCATTTGTCTTACCATCATAAACATAAGTAAAGGTCTACTAGCCATCTCACTCATAATGTCCAATTGATGGGATTTGGAGTTTTCCAGTGTTGCAATGAAAGTGTCAAGGAAATGGTCTCTCATTAAATATTTGCCCAGAATGTATTGTAGGTCTGAGTGGAATATAAAAGATGCCAGTTAAACCACTTTCTACAGCCGCTGAAGGGGACTTCTTCAGAATTGCACCGTATTTGCTGAACTGTCATTTCCTACTACATTTAGACAAACTCGTGTTCAAGGATTCATAGGTTTCTGTGATTGTAATAGCAAATCATAATTTAGTTTGTGTGTAATTCTTACCAATCTTGTAAAAGTGCCTCATCTTAATTTAATGTCTCAAATTAATTATAATTGAATCAATCAGCATCTGAGAATTTCTGAGAGGTTTTGTAACATCTCTTGGAAGAATTAATGTCTCCTGCAGGGTGTTGTGAAACAAGGGATTTTAATCATTTACAGCCTTTTCTCACCTTTAAGTGTGCTGCAGATTCAAAGTATATATCTCCACAGTAAAATCTAGATTTTGGCTCACTAAAAAAAAAAAAAAGAAAAAGAAAAAAATGTGTGTCCCATCCCACCAACTGACAGTGTTTCAAGCTATTAATAGGCTGATCCTTGTATACTTGTTTCTCTGATATTTTTAGAGTCTGCATTGGAGTGCATTAAATTGTTTTTTTCCCTCTTCTTAAAGAAGTAATTATTGAGACTAGATTCTGCCAACAACATCATGCAAAATAAAATAATAGCTTGGAATTGTTTAGGACTACAATATTACTACTTTCACATTGTTACTGTGAAGAGTATTTTTAGTGGTTTATTTCATGTAAACAGAGCATTCTATGTAGCCCATCATTACATTAGTTTATGTTTACTGTACTTCCCTTAAAATTGCCTTTGTAGGGGGTACAGAATGCATATTTTCTTTCAACAAGGGAATACAATGCACTGGAAAGTCAAATCAAGAGAAAACCACTTTAGGAAATGACTACAGCCAAACGTATGAAATTGCACCCACTTCGCTAATTACTGCTAATCTAATTTTATTTTTAGCTTCTAAGACAACACCCTGAAAACACACTTCTCCTAGATGATCTATATAAAGTTATTTTACAATCCCAATGAAATTAACCTAGTAATAGTGTCAAAGACAAGGAGAATCTACCTTTGGAATAAGGGCTTTTCTTTTTTTTTTTTTTTTTTTTTGAGACAGAGTCTTGCTCTATTCCCCACCCCAGGCTGGAGTGCAGTGGCACCATCTTGGCTCAGTGCAACCTCTGCCTCCCGGGTTCAAGCGATTCTCATGCCTCAGTCTCCCAAGTAGCTGGAATTACAGGTGCATGCCACCACACCCGGCTCATTTTTGTATTTTTAGTAGAGACGGGGTTTCTCCATGTTGGTCAGGCTGGTCTCAAACTCCTGACCTCAGGTGATCTGCCTGCCTTGGCCTCCCAAAGTGCTGGGATTACAGGTGTGAGCCACCACGCCTGGCCAAATAAGGGTTTTTAATCTGAGGCTGGACACCATGGCTCATGCCGGAAATCCCAGCACTTTGGGAGGCTAAAACAGGAGGATTGCTTGAGCTCAGGAGTTCAAGACCGACCTGGGCAACATAGTGAGATCTTATCTCTATAAAAAATTTAAAAATTAGTCAGACATGTTGGCATGCACCTGTGGTCCCAGCTACTCAGGAGGCCAGGAGGCCGACCGAGGTGGGAGGATCACTTGATCCGACGAGGTTGAGGCTGCAGTGCACCATGTTCACCCCACTGCACTCCAGCCTAAGCAACAGAGCGAGACCTTGTCTTAAAAAAGAAAAAAAAAGGAAAAGAAAGAAAGTATTTTTAATCTGACTCTCTACTTATAACGCATCACCTCTGCTGCAGTCCATGATGAAGATGTTACCTATAAATCTATGCCAAGGATATATGGTGTTAATAGGCCCAGATGCCAGTCCTGCATACTGACTCCCAGATAGCAGTTTGGTCATGTAAAGAAGGACTCAAATTTTAAGAAGGATAAAGTCCTGACCCATGAGATTACTTTTGAGTTAGACTTCTAGGGATTCAGAAACTGACTTAGCACTTCTGAATCCTAGCATTTCTAGGTCTTCAAAAAATTCTTGCCAAAGAAAATAATTTTTTATGGCACTTAATAGCATATTTACGATCAGGTTGGTACACAGGTAATTGTGGGTTTTGCTATCACAGTAATGGCAAAAATTACTTTCTTTCCAAACTCAACTAAAATGTAAACAACTTCATGTTTCTCCCCTCCTTAATCTCAAAAGCATTAGATGTTCTGTGTTGGATTCTGATAGGAACTTAAGAAACTCTGCATTTCATAGTAATAGGATTAATTATAATCATGTGTGTGTCTGTGTGTGTGTTTGTGAATATGTGTCTCTGTGTGTGTTAGTATCCCTCTAGAGCTGTGAAGTCCAGCGTGGTTGCCACTTGCAATATTCAGCATTTATTTGAATTTGAATTTATTAAAATCGAAAACACAGTTTCTCATTTATACTATTCTCTTATGGCTAGTGGCTCCTCTTTCTGACGCTGAAGAAAGTTCTGTTGGATAGCACAACTCTCCAGAGTGAGCACTGTGGGGCAGACAGTATTTCTCATGTATATCACAATGCTTAGCACATAAGAGGTCAGTAAGTGATTGATGATTGAATAAACAAGTAAATTCTTTTTATATGGCAGGCAATAAATAATATTTATTAATAAAGGAATTCAACGAATAATTACCTAAAGCATTGCTGACTTTGATCTCCTGATTTTCAACCTTTCTATGCTTTTGATGCCTTAGATCACGTCTCTTTTCTTGATTAATGACATTTCTTAATTAATGTTCCTTCTTTATTCTAACCCCTTTCAATCTGCAGTCTAAATTTCTCAGATAGTGATCTTCCTCAATAATGTTACTGTACTTATTCATATTTTTCCTTTGCTAAAATATCTTACAGTGGGACTTCTACTTCAGGCCACACTGGAATAGATGACACCAGACAATCTCTCATCATATACAACTGGAAAATGAAACAATATTTAGAAAACATTCATTTGCCAAAATTAGACAAAGGACAGAACGAGATTCTGATCCTGGAGAGTAAGAAAACAAACAAGGTGATCAAGTTTTTCTTGGAAGAACTCCAGTACCGTGGTGAAAGGAGATGGAACCCAAGCAGAGAATGGCAGCTTGTATTCTGACAAGCCAAGGTGATGAGATCTTGTTGAAAATCCAAGGCCTTGAACAGAGGCACCAGAATGTCACACCTTCCTTGCGTGGATAAACTATCTCTAGAGTGAAGGCTACTCTAGACTCATCCTGGCAAAGCTTACACCTAAGCCTCAGATGCTCAAGTGGATCTAAACGTAACTTAATTGTTTGCCAAAATAAATGCCTTTTAAAGAAAACTAAAATTTAGACACCAAACAAAATGTTTAAATTTCTAGACATATGAGGAAGCAGGAAACTGTGACCCTCAATTAAAACAAATAAACAGAAACAGGCATGGAAATGTCAGATATGAGACATAAATAATGGGATTAAGAGTTAAAAACTTTAAAACAGCTATAAAAATGCTAAGGACTTCAAAGAAACTTAATGTGAGGCCAAATTAAAGCAATAAAAATTACCAAATGGGAATTCTATAGTTTAAATATACAACATTGAGAATTAAAAATTCACTCAATGGACTTAAGAGTGGATTGACTACTACAGAAGAAAAGAACAATGAACTTGAACACATATATTAGAAACTATCCAGTTGAAGCAGAGAAAGAGAGAAAAGGTAGGTGCATGCACACACACACAAAAAATGAACAGAAATTAGTGACCTGTGAGACAATGGTAGATAGCCTAATATACATGTTACTATGTAACTATCTTTAAAGAGGTGGTTAGAGACTGTAACATATTTGACAAAATAATAGCTGAAAAGTTTCCAATTTTGATGAAAACTATAAATCAACAGATTCTGGATACCCAGCAAATATGTAGCATGACAAACATAAAGAAAACCACCTCAAGGTATGTCAGAATCAAATTGATGTAAACCAGAGATATTGAGAAAATTATAACAAAACAGAGGGGAAAAAAGGCAACATTACATACAAAGCAATGAAGATAAGAATGACTCCTTGAAAACAATGCAGGCCAGAGGACAATAGAATGAGAATTTTCGTGTGTAGGAAAAAGGTAATCATCGCCCTGAAATTATATATCCAGTAAATGAAAATGAAAAGTAAAATGAAAGTAAAATACATAGATTTTCACTTAAAAGAAGTTGAGAGAATCAATGGCCAGTAGATCTGCACTGAGAGAAATAGTAAAGAAAATTCTTTATGCTGAAGGAAGATGAAATCAGATGGAAATTTAAATCAACAGGAAGATATGTAAAGGGAAATAGAATTAATAAATATATGAGTAAATATAAAAGAGATTTTTCTCAATTTAAATATCTTTCAAAGATAATTGGCTACATAAAGCAATAATAATAATAATAAAAATAATAATGTGTTTTAGGGTTTGTAACACTCATAGATGTCAATTATATGACCAAAATAGTACAAAAGATGAGAGGAAAAAAATGAAAGTAAGACTTATTGGTAAAACAGTATTAATATTCTTCAAAGATAGATTGTGAGATTTAAGATACATATTATAAACTCAGAAGAGACCACTGGAAAGAAACTAAAATGGTATACCAATCAAAACAACGGAGAAGATAGAATGGAACACTAAAAATAAGTAAAAAGAGAGGTGCTAGGAAAGGAGGTAAAAAGCAATGAAGAATAGGTAGAAAACTAGAAAATAAATAGCAGAATGGCAGATTTTAAAATCAGGCAATTTGATGTTATTTTAAATATAAATCATGTAAAACAAAGAATGGTTAAAAAGAAGAAACTGTCTTAATGGATAATAAAGCAAAACTAAACTATATACTGCTTATAAGAAATAGAGTTTAAAAATAAAGATGTAGATATGTTAAAAGAAAATACCATAACCCAAGCCAAGACTATTCTTAGGAATGCAGGATCCTCTTGTAGATTTTATTTCTGGCCAAGGTACATTCCTGAGGCCCAGACACATCCCTCCTATCCCTTTGGCTTGGCAGTTTAAAATTTCCTTAGATTTCACCATTCTTTAAATGCTCGCTTTGCCCAAGCTATTAAGAGTTGGTTTCTTTTCCATGAGACCAAAATCCAAGTAATATAGAACTTTAGGAATGTCTCCCCATACAGATTAAGGCCCTAACAAAAAGAGTGTTGCCCTGGCTCAAGTCCACCACTTCTACTGTGAGATATGTCGAGAATCACTTTCCTAGATGACTGTGCTCTTAAGTCATCACAAATAAACCTTGTTCATTAACACATGAGTGGTTCGATTTCACTTGCAGGCCTTTTTGCCTTTTGGTCCTACTGATGGGGTAAAAAGCCATAGAGATTATGGTTAGAAAATGGTCTGTGATGAGCTTTGACAAATGATGACTGGGTAAGTAAACTTCTTATGATGGTGAAATTATTTTCTAACAACACTTAATGCAAGTGTGACATTAAGACCAGGGCGATTCATCATTAACTTAAATAACTTAATCTGGACCTTTTGAAGAAAAATCAGAAGAATACATAAAAGGATAATATTTTAAAATAAAGTGGCTTTGAAAGATTAAACTAGGCTGAACGAAAACTCCCAGATAATGAAGCCAATTTCAAAGGCAATAGCGGAAATCCAGTTGAACCCTTAAATTTTTGTTCACTTACACAAGGGAATTTATTGACAGAGATTAAGAGCCATCCTTGGTGATGGTGTAATCATCTTTTCATTTGTTGATGGGCAGATAATTGCATTTAAATATAAGAGTAGTAATGCTCTAAAGCTACCCAAAGTGCATCACAGGTGCAGCTACTAAAGCCAGCACTCCAGAAAGTGAGTGTTCATGGGCCGTATGCTTATAAAGGTAGAAATTCAGAAAGCACATAGAAACATAGGGAGAAAAAGAAAATGCACACAGCCTTACATTCTTCTATACTATTAGGAAAATAATGGTAATTACCTCAAAATATTGCTGTGAAAATTAAGAGACAGAATTTATGTTAGAATCTGAAACATAAGAGGCCCTCCATAAATGTAAGCTATGCTTATTATTAATGTGCCATCTAGGGTCATATAATAGTCTTAGTTTAACTTCCCAGCAGCAAAGGTATGACAGTGAACAAGGTCGTACACAGGGTAACATTGGCTCAATCCACAGGACAGAGAGAGATGTCCCAGTCTGGACAAGGGAGATGGAATATTTACACCATGCTTCCATCAGCCATTGGTTAAAAGCTACCGCTGAGACACCTACATTCCCAGGCATTTCTGGCAAAGCAGAGTCTGCAGCCAGCCTGGCAGAAGTCTTTCAACAGAGACGCAGGTGCTGGCTTTGGGAGGGAAAGCACACTAGGAATGGTGTGCACAGAAATGGTGAAGAGATCTGAGGGATACGGATGGAGCATCTACTACAATTTCCTTTCAGTTTCTTTTCTCTGCTTATGTTGTTTGTTTATATAGTTGAAAGAACATTATAAAATACATTATATTCCTCATGGAATGTAATATCCACAACGGAAGAACTTTCTGGTTTTTGGTTTTTGGTTTCATCCCTGGTAGTACTCCTTGACCTGGAACAGCGACGTGGCTGGCATTCAATAAATATTTGTTGAATAAATACAACTTTGTGATCTGCTTTTATGGTTCAACGTTATATGGCAAAAATCTCTTTCTGAAAATACAATTCCTATTTTTGTAAAACTTTCCTCAGTACAGCACTCCTAGTTTGTATAACCATTTCAATTTGATATCATGCTTAGCTATCATAAATGCTGTTTCCACAAACTTTCTCGATAAATTCACAGATATAGAATTACTGGGTGAGACCATACTCATGATTTTATAAAATATGGCTTTTCTTCTCTCAGATATTTTGACAAGCATGATCAACAGTATTGACTCTGAGGTGACCCTGAACTAAATCATTGGCAGCTGGAAATATTAGGCAGATCATATTCTTAACTCAGTCAATTCACTGTAAAGCAATAACGTTGTCAAAACTTCTGGTCAGAAGAGGGTCTTGAACTTTCAGTATATTATATATTTGGAACAAACATGACACATGTCTTAATGACCATCAAATCTCAAGCCCAAATGCTAGGTAGGGCTCTGTCCACAGGCATCAAAGCCACACAGGCCAGCAGCTCAGTGTGCCTGAACTGGTTATGTGAAGACACCTGCTGACAGCAGGATTCCCAAGTATTTCTTGTTTGATGAGCAGAGGAGGACAGTATTGCATACTTGAAAATGCTAGAGCTTTGTGTCCCTGAAGACAGTGGTGTGTGATTGGCGGTTTCAGGTCACTCTGATTGTATATTGACTCTCCTTTTGATAGCAGCTGCCAGATACCACTTGCAGAGTTCACATCCTGGCATCTTCTCCACTAGGTCAGCATGACATTTTTGTTCAAAGGGAGTCATCCCATCTCTGATTGCTGCATACCACTGGGCTCTGGTGGCTTCAACTCTTTCCCTATCTATTGGAACCTCTGAGCTGTTCCATTTCTTTCCCAATATGTGCATGGCTCCATTCATTCAACAATGCAGACACATTTCTGTGAGTTGCATGTCAGATATCCAACCCCCAGCAAAATCAGGAATTCTACCTTAAAAGAAAAAAAAAAAAAAGCTATCTATTCTAAGAATGCCTTTCAATTAAAATGTAGGCTAGATTTTCTGGCAGTAGTAGAGAAATTAACCAAACTAGTTTCATTTTCAGACTTCTTATTTTTCAGACTTACGTTTCAGAATCTAGCAATTTATATTTTCAAGTCCTTGAAAATAGGAACTGTCATGTACCATTTTTATGCATATATGCAAACATAGCATCTATAGTGTTTTGTATATGAGAAGCTTCTTGTAAATACCTTTTGATTTAAGTGAAAACAGCTTAATGAAAGTTTTTTTATTTGTTAAAAAACTAGATTCCTTTGTGAAATGTGGGCAAAACAGACAGCTGGATGACTGATATTTTTCACTTTTCAGAAAGTACTGGCTTTGTGTCGAAAGGACTTTGGTCTTTTAGGTCTAATTCCATCTGCGGCACTCTAAGCACTATTTCAATTGCCCCTTTCAACTAGCCTAGAAAAATTCCATGAAGTTGAGTCCTGGCTAAGCTTTTAGATTGCTTTATGGCATTCTTTCCTTTCTTTGCACAGGTTGTCAGCATGTACTTTTTCTAAGCTTAAATAAACTACTTCTTTGCTTATAAGAAGTCATGTACAGTATATTGTACTTCTCAAGGGTAATATTCCTCCTCCTAGATATATTCCCCAAATGAGAGAACTGTAAACATCTGTTTCTGGCAAGCTAAGAAAGAGAAGCGATGTCAGAGCCAGCAACTTGCTTCCTATGGGAATAATTTCGGGTTTGTACACCTTCTTGACTGTTAATTTATAAACATGCTAACTATATTATTCTCCCCATCAAAAATTCATGCCAGTTTTGAGCAGTCTTGTGGAAACAAAAACAACATATAATAATCTAGAATCAAATTCTCAAGTTTCCATTAAGTGGAGTAGAGGTCAAGGAAAACTGAGCAAATGTTATATTGTCTCATGCATTGCACATCTAAATTATGTACAAATAGCATAAATAGAGTTTATACTATAGAAGTAAATTATCTTGCTCATATCATCTCCAGGTAGAATAAGAAAACCCAGCCAGAAGTGGCCAGCAACTAGTGGGACTGGTTAGACAGGGGCTGGGAAGCTGAGTGTGCAAGATGAAGTCTGATTATTGAGGACCAGATAACTACTTAATTGTGAGAGCAGCCAGGATTTGAAACCCTGCGTCTGGGCCATGTGCATGGAGTTTGCAGGTCTTGGTTACCAAAGACAGACAAAGGAAATAAAGGTCAGAAACCAGTCAAGGAAAGTCTGAGCACACAGTTTTCTTAGAAATAAAGCAATAGAGAAGGCGAGGGAGTTTGAGGCCATATACGTTTTTTAATTAGTTAATTTATTTTTTAATTGACAACCAAAAAATGTATATTTATCACCTACAACATGATATTTTGATATATGTACACATTATGTAATGGCTAAATAGAGCTAATTACCATATAAGTTTCTAACTGAAGCAGCAAGGTCGGTCTGATTCTAACAAGATGATTTTTTTTTTTTTTTTTTTTCCTAATGGGGCATGGATCATAGGAGCAAAAAGGAAGCAATGGCAGCTAGAGCGAAAGTCAGATGCTCTTTGGGACACATCAGAACTAGAAACTAGACACAGTGGGAGAGAGGGCCAGACTTGGAATATCAGTAGTCTTTTGGAGGAGGTCCCAGCAGTTGGGGAAGTCCA